TTTTAGATCGCCGATTATAAATTATTTTTAGACCGCCCAAAGGTTGATCATTTATTTTATAATCATTGAATATAATTATAGTCTATTTATATACTAAGTTAAGTTATGTTTATATATTCAAAGATAATAGACATGTCTAACTTGAGTACAAACAATTATCAATTATATTAAATTTAAATCAAGCATTAATTATGTTTTTTATCGTGTATTGTTATATCTCCCAAAGGAGATTTCAATATGCTATTATTGTTATTATCATTATTTTAATCTGATTTTATATGAATATCTATGTAAGTTTAATTTTCGAAGCATTAATGTACGAGCATACTTTATTTATTTGCAGTAACTACTCTCGTTTCTCTTCATTCGCAAGCTACATATGTACATCTGTTCAAACTTTCCTATTCAAACTTTCAATGGGCTTAATTTCTCTGAATGGCGTGAGCAAGTCCAGTTTCACCTTGGTGTTCTGAATCTTGATTTAGCACTCATAATTGATAAACCCCATGCTCTTACTGATTCTAGCAGTGCTGAGCAAATATCTTTCTATAAAGCTTGGGAAAAATCAAACAGATTAAGCTTAATGTTTATGTGAATGACTGTAGCAAACAACATAAAGTGTAAATTTTCTAACACTGAAAGTGTTAAGGAATTTATGAAATTTGCTGAGAATTGTTCTCAGTCTGACTCTGCTGATAAGTCTCTTGCTGGGACACTACTGAGTACGTTAACCAACATAAAATTTGATGGTTCTCGTACCATGCATGAGTATGTCGTTGAAATGACGAACATAGCATCAAGACTTAAGACTCTGAGAATGGAAGTGAATGAAAATTTTTTTATGCAATTTCTCATTAACTCCTTGTCTCATAAGTATGATATTTCACATGAACTACAACACTATGAAAGATAAGTGGAATGTGAATGAACTACAATGTATGCTCATTCAAGAGGAAGCAAGGCTTAAGAAAGGAATAAATCACTCCATTAATCTCATGGGTCATCAAAGAAGAGCTGTAAAGAAACCTGGAAAGACGAATGGAAAGGCCAAGCAAGGGCCACTAAAGATTAATGTGTCATCTGCCCCAATTCACAAAGAGGAATATAAAGGAATTAAGTGTCATTTTTGTAGAAAGCATGGACACTATCAAAATGAGTATTAAAAGCGCAAAGACTGGTTCAAAAAGAAAGGTAAACCTTGTGTTTCTGTATGTTTCGAATCAAATTTGGCATAAGTTCCTTATAATACCTGGTGGATTGATTCTGGTTGTACCACTCATGTTTCAAATATGATGTAGGGATTCCTTACAACTTAAATCATAAACCCAAATGAACAGATTGTCTTCATAGGAAACCGAAGCGTCAGTTGAAGCTATTGGAACCTATCAGTTGATTTTAGATACTGGACATCATTTAGACCTTTTTCAAACATTTTATGTCCCTTCAATTTCTTATAATTTGATTTCGTTGTCTAAACTTGATCATATTGGATACTCATTTAAATTTGGAAATGGTTGTTTCAGTTTGTCTAAACACAATCATCTCATAGGTTCTGGTATTCTTTGTGATGACCTATATAAGCTTAAACTTGATAACCTTTTGTCTGAGAATTTGATGACTTTGCATCATAATATTGGTACTAAATGCGTTTTTTTTGAATGAAAGTTCAACTTATTTGTGACATAAACTTTTGGGTCATATATCAAAAGAAAGAATTACAAGATTAGTAAAGAATGAAATCCTTAATGAATTAGATTTTACTGATCTTGACATCTGTGTGAATTATATTAAAGAAAAACACACAAATCACACACTTAAGAAAGCTGCCACAAGAAGCACACAGCTCCTTGAAATTATACACATTGATATTTGTGGACCTTTTGATGTTCCATCTTCTGGTGGAGAGAATTATTTATTGATGATTTTTCATGTTATGGGTATGTCTATTTATTGCATCAAAAATCTCAAGCTATAAATGCCTTAAAGGTGTATATAACTGAGGTTGAGAGACAATTAGACAGAAAAGTGAAAATTATCAGATTTGATAGAGGCAGTGAATATTATGGAACTTACAATGAATTTGGACAATGTCCACGTCCATTTGCTAAATTCCTTCAAACTAATGACATATGTGCTCAATACACTATGCAGGAACACCACAACAAAATGGTGCTGCAGAAATGTGAAATCGTACTCTAATGGAAATGGTTAGGAGCATGATGAGTAATTCTTTTTTACCTTTATCATTGTGGATGCATGCTTTAAAGGCCGCTGCATATTTTTTAAATATGATTCTTAGTAAAACAGTCCAATAGATTCCTTTTGAGTTGTGGACATGAAGAAAACCTAGCTTAAGGGAGCTACATATTTGGGTTTGCCCAGCAGAAATAAGGTTATATAATCCACATGAAAAGAAACTGGACTCAAGAACAGCTAGTGGTTTCTTCATTGATTATCCAGAAAAATCTAAAGGGTAGAGATTTTATTGTCCTAACCACAGTACAAGAATTATTGAAGCTGGAAATGCCAAATTCATTAAAAATGGTAAAGTTAATAGGAGTTTTGAACCACATAAAGTGAAGATCCAAGAAATTAGGGTACAAGTTCCATTACTTAAAATGTCTTCTCAAGTTGTTATTCTTACAACTGTTGGGCAGTTTGACAACTTAGAAAAACAACATATATACGATCAAATACCCCACAAAAGAACCGTCACTAATGAACCTACATTAGATGAACCACATGAAATGAAGTAGTACCTAGAAAGTCTCAACGACAAAAATGGTCTGCTATTTCCGATGATTATGTGGTTTATCTTCATGAATTCAAATTTGACTTAATCAATGAAGATCTAGTTTCATTTTCACAAGCCATAAAAAGTGTAAATTCTTCTAAATGGTTAGATGCAATGAAAGATGAGTTGAAATCGATGGATCACAACAAAGTCTGAGATATCGTTGAATTGCTTGAAGGTTGTAAAAGTGTCGGGTGTAAATGAATTTTTAAGACTAAGCACAATTCGAATGACAATACTGAACGATATAAAACCAGACTTATTGCTAAAGGTTTCACTCAGAATGATGACATCGACTATAAAGAAACATTTTCTACGGTTTCTAGGAAAGATTCATTTAGAATTATCATAACACTAATAGCTCATTATGATTTGGAGCTACACCAAATGGATGTGAAATCTGCCTTTCTGAATGGGAATTTAGATGAGAGGTCTACATGAGTCAACCTGAAGGATTTTTGGTTGAAAGAAAAGAACACATGGTGTGTAAACTTAAGAAATCAGTATACGGACTTAAGCAAGCTTCCCGATAATGGTATCTTAAGTCTAATGATACCATCACGTCCTTTGGATTTAAGGAAAATATTGTTGATAGATGTATATATCTAAAGGTCAGTGGGAGCAAAATTATATTTCTTATTCTGTATGTTGATGACATCTTGCTGACTACTAATGATCTTGACTTATTATATGAAACCAAGAATTTTCTCCCTAGGAAATTTGAGATGAAAGATATGAGTGAGGCATCCTATGTGATTGGAATTAAAATATTTCGTGATAGATCACAAGGATTGTTAGGGCTGTCTCAGAAAACATATATCGAAAGAGTTCTTAAGAGATTCAATATGGAAGGTTGTTTAGCAAGTGTTGCTCCAATTCAGAAAGGAGATAAATTCAGTCTTATGCAGTATCCAAAGAATGATTTGGAACGTAAACAAATGGAAGAAATTCCTTATGCATCTATTGTTGGAAGCTTAATGTATGCTCAAACTTGTACCAGACCAGACTTTAGCTTTGTTGTAAGGATGCTGGGTAGGTATCAAAGTAATCCAGGAATAGATCATTGGAAATTTGCAAATAAAGTTTTGAGGTATCCACAAGGAACAAATGACCACATGCTCACTTATAGAAGATCTAAAGATCTTGAAGTGATATAATATTCAGGTTCAGATTTTGCTGGATGTGTTGATACTAGAAAATCAACATTTGGCTATATATTCCTTTTGGCTAAAGGAGTAATCTCATGTTATTAATTTATGATATTTATTTTTGATAACTTAAGTTATTAATTTTCTTAACTTATAACTTATGTCATAAATAATGACAACTTATGACATTTATTTTGATAACTTCAGTTATTTATTTTCGTAACTCATAACTTATGACAATTTATGGTATTTATTTTTGTAACTCATATAACCCTTAAAAATAAATAAATATTATTAACTTATGTCATTGATTTTAATAATAAAAGACAATTAATGTATTAAATCATCATAAATCCTATTGGTTAGTATCCCCTTGATGGATGGTGGTTAAATAGAGCATGAATTTGAGAATGAGTCATTTCTCTACCTAATACACCCTGTACATTTCTCTCCATTAGAAAGTACAGAAAGTTTCAATGGATTAGAGAGAGAAACTCCATCTCTTCAAGATCAAATTTCTTCAAGATCAAATTTCTTCATCATGAATACATGTATGCGTCATTTTATTTTAGATATGTAAAAGTCATGAATTTAAAAGATCTTGGCTATTATGTTTTTTTTTTTGAAATTTGTGTTATAAGATTGAAACATGAATTTTTTTACACGGATAACGAAATCGAACCGAAATCAAAGATGGGGGAAGCAGACACCTTATTGAATTGGAACCATTCGTAGTAAGGAGGATCGAATAAGCCTTCGACTTCAGATTTTCCCCCGGCGGAGAACGGTGCGTCGGCGAAGAAGAGATCGAGGTTGTCGGTGACGCTCTTAGGCCATTTCCCCATCACCTGCGTCCGCATGATCTTGCCGCTGGTGCGAAAACCGTGAAGGCAGAGGAAACGAGGCCTCCGGCGAGAATACTCGGAGACGCCGAAGATAGCGGTGTCCATGGTCAACTGAAGAGTTTTCGAGGAGAAGGCGGGGGGGGATTGTAGAGGAGTAGATGAGATCGAGGATCGCAAGCAGTTTATGTGCGAGGAATCAGGAATGTGGAAGCGGTTTGGAACTTTCGTGGGGGGAATGGGTGGCAGCTGCTTACGAAAAGATACTGCTTCATATCAGCTGCTAACCAAATCTCTTCTTTTTGAATTTAAATAAACAAGAGGCTTTGAAGTACGACCCTCTCACCTAACATTCCAGTTTTACATACGTCCTGGCTTGCGTTACACATGTATGGACAGATGTATTTCACTTTTTTCTTTTTTAATTAAGATGATAATATTTTTTTATGTGATATAAAAGATTTGTATGAAATGAAAAAAATATATTAGGATTGATGTATAAATACTTAGGAATTAGGTGGTATGTCCGTAAATCATCTTTATATATTTTTAATACTCAAAATTTTAATGTTACAAAAAAAAAAAATCAAAATATTAACTTTTAAAATGAAATACACATTTTTATACTTAAATTTATAACAATGATGTTATATATGTGTAAATATCGAACTTTAGAATTGGGTGTGATGTGAGCTAGAAAATTCGCATTGATAGAGCAATAAATTTTCGTCTTAGCGTTGCACAAAAATTCAAAACATACTCAGATAAAAGAAACTTGCCAATAATGACACAATAAGTTTTTAGGTGGAAACCTTGTAAAGGGAAAAAAAACCACGGGATCGGCCTAGTTGTATTTAAGTAGATGATTCAGAGACCCTTTGTCCTACAAGAGGAAATGATTTACTAGATTTTTCAAGATACAACGTCCACCGGTGGCTTCCAGTCAGTAGTGGTCGACGACGATTGGTGGTGATTGATGACGACAGTAGTGCTTGACAGCGATCGGTGGTCGACGACAGTCAGCGGTGGTGGACAACAGTCAGCGGTGGTCGACGACGGCTGGCGGCGATTGGTGGAACATGGATGGTGCTGAACTTCAGCTTCTTCTCAAAGCTTTAAGTTTTTTTTCTCAAGCATCGGCTCCCCTCTCATGAGAGGGGTGAGACTCCATTTATAGTGTAATCAATGAAAATAATGCAAGAATATGAATCAATTTGATCAAACAACCCAGAGAGCTTCTTTCCATCGGATGACGTTGGATGGACTTTCAGTGCCTTAACGATGTCCAAATTGAGCAATCTTGGGCTCGTTGGATTCGTCCTGTCGAGACGCTAGATTCGACTATAGACTTGCTAGATTCTACATTCGTTCAGCTTTTTAAATATGTCCGGAAAACTTTCAAGGGTGGTTTAATACTTGATCAAAGCTTGATTTAACCTGGATTGGACTAATTTGTAGCATTGGTTTTTTCTTGCTGTGTCGGTCAATTTAACTGTAAGCTTATTGAAATAGGAGTTCTGAATTAGTTTTTATCAAAGTTTAAAAATTTCTTGCTCAAAAGATTGTCTCGAGATTCGTGTTGTACCCGAGATTCTTGTCGGATGATGGAATTTTATTGATGGGGTGGTAGGTATGTAAATGTCCCCATAATTTAGTCTCATGTGACAAAGAAGATATACGTTAACCCTATTTAATTTTAAAATGTCGTTTTTTCACTATAAAAATAATATATATATATATATATATATATATATA